AGAAAGACTTCAGTATAATAATATGGGCAGCTTTAGTTCATCAAAAGACTCCACGACACATTAGGGTTGTTATGATTACAGAGTTGAAGTTTACAAACCCTTGAGCATTCATCTTCATCACTGGCCATTTCTTCTCTGCCACATTTATAAGATCTTCTTTCTCTTTAACCAGGTTCTCTAGATTCTTTTTGTAATTGTCTCCTCTTTCCTATCATGTAATAGGAAATTCCTCTTCTCTTGTCAGGTAATCTAGAACAATCCCTAAATCTTCCTTTCCCTTTAGATCATTCAGGGTTTTCTTAGCATATTCAATCTGTCCCCAAACCAAACTGCTCATTTTTAGGCCTAGGGGTTGTTTCTGGTTCCCAGTTTTCTGTCTTATCTCCATTCTGTCACGCATTTAGGTCTAAAACTCCGGGGTTATCTTCAGCTCCTTTTTTTCCTTCCACCCCTCCTCCCCATTTTTGGGGCTTCCGATAAACCAGGATGATCTGTAAGAGCCAAGGCCAAACATAGATCTAGCTTTGGAAATGTTGTTATTCTTATAAAGGGAACCTCCACAGGAAAAAAGCAATGTAACATTTCAAGCTTATCCCACAGGAGCACATATAATCCAGGAATTATATAAACCAGAATTGCTTGCCCTTAATATGTAGTGGGAAAAAATATTTTTTGTATTCTTTTCTAAAGTCCATATAGTGATTCTCAAATGTTATTGTGGATCAAAATCACCTAAAGGGTTAAATACAGATTACTGAGCCCACCGACGGAGTCTCTGATTCAGTAGGTCATGTGTGGGACCTAAGAATTTGCATTTCTGACAAATTCCCTGGTAATGCTGCTGCTGCTCATTCCAGGACCACATTTGATAACCACGACTCTGTGATATCCCTGGTAAACTGTGTCTGCTGCTGTGTTCCCTGAAGGGCCTTGCTTTCCTCCATAGCGCCCTTTGCCTCAAATTACCTTTTCTTCAATCTCTATCTGTTAGAATCTATCCATTTTCCAAGGCTTGACTCAAATGCTATTTCTTATACACAACAAAACATCAGGAGTGCTCTGCCTGTGTATTTCCATTACCCTTTGGCCACACCTCTTTCATAGCACCTCCCACATTCTTCTCCAGGTTCACAGCCCTTCTGCTCACAGTGTTCTCTCCTACAGGATTCTGAGTTCTTCAAAGCAGGTCTTGCACATCTCTATCCTGGACTCCCACTGAGGTGGTCCAGAGTAGGATCTTAATACAGGCATGCCAAATTAAACAGCCTGTGCTGAAACCAATCTTCTTACCCTGCTCTGCCTCCCAGCCTCTGAGTGTATGCGTATGTGAGCCCTGTGTAATGCTACACACACACACACACACACACACACACTGGCACACTAAACATACTTTCTTCAGAAGCTAACAAGTGAAGGGAAAAAAGGCTCCCTAACAAGTTGATACTCTTTGTTTTATATTTTTATAACATACCTAGCTATTTTTATGATTTCTATCTTTTGTATTCTGCCTAGAAATGGCTTCTTCAAAAACAAAATGTGTGCTTTGCTTTTCTTGCAGCTTTGAGAGTTTTTGGTTTTCTAAAAATATTTGATATGGATAAATTAAAGGGTTAATTTTTAAAGTAGAAAGCAAAAAGGCTATTTTATTAATTCTTTTTTTTAATTAATTTTTTAAAAATTAATAAGGATATCCAGGACTTCAACTCAGATCTGGAACAAGTAAACTCAATAAATATTTATAGAGTTCTCCATTTTAAATACACAAAATATTGATCGGCCATTATTAATACCCATTTTTAGAATGAAGCAATATTCCTGCTCTCCCTCTTTTTCTTCCTCTCCTTCTCTCCTTTTTTTACTTTTCAACATCCTAGTTCCTCACCTCTACGTATTTTATTATTTCTTGTCCAAATAATTAACTAGTAATCATTTAGTGACTCATTTCTCTTTTCCCCAGTGATCTGAACTACCAGCTTGGTCATATTTTAAGTATGTAAATATGTGTCTGGGTTTACTATGCTGGATCAGTGCCACATTTTCTTTTAAAAATATTATCTTGGGCTGGGCACAGTGGCTCATGCTTGTAATACCTGCACTTTGGGAGATCAAGGCAAGAGGATCGCTTGAGGCTAGAAGGTCCTGGCTGGGTTGAGTTATCATTGCACCACTGCACTCCAGCTTGGGCAACAGAGTGAGATCCCCATCTCTCTGATTTAAAAAAATTTTTAATTTAAAATATTATTTTGCAACTCTTCTATGCATATAGAAGGAAATACAAGGAGTTACTTATGTAAAACACTTCTTTTTCCATTCCATAATACAAAGAATGTGCTGTTTTAACTACTTATTGCAGCTTTAAAGTTATTTTAAATACCTGGCTTATGGTTTCTCTTAACTGCTTGTGTTCTCTGTGTGAGAGCCCTACTGGGGTGCAGTCACACCCCTCTCTTCTCAAAGCTTGGCACAAGGGAGGTAGAGGGTCAGAAGCACATGGAAGTCCCCTTGGCTTGAAGGCTGGCAGGCAGCAGCACATCAAAGGTCCTCTCTGGTGGGCAGGACGCTGGGAAAACATTCCTAGCCAAAGGTGGTGGGCCGAGAACTGGTTGCAACAGGAGCCATAGCAGATGACCGAAATGGTTCATCACATTGGCAGGTGGACGTGAGCAATATAGGGAGAAACATTCCTAGTCATTATTACACAAACTCTGAGTGTCCCCTGGGCATCTTCAGTGTCCTCTGGAGGATACGTGCACGATGGATGAGTCACTTTCCTAAGATATAATGCCACTTGAAACCCTTTAAAAACTTGTCTTGCCTTTAAGGTTTTCCTATGAGACAGAAGTATGAAGTGGGTTTGCAGTGTTGGACTTCTGTTGTTCTTTTGTAATTTTTTGCTTTCTTTTTGTCCCGGGGGGTGCTTTCAAAAGCATATATATGTGTGTGTGTGTGTGTGTGTGTGTGTGTATATATATATTTTTTTTTTTTTTGAGACAGAGTCTCACTCTGTCACCCAGGCTGGAGTGCAGCGACTCCATCCCAGCTCAAGGCAACTTCTGCCTCCCAGGTTCGAGTGATTCTCCTGCCTCAGCCTCCCAAGTAGCTGGGACTACAGGCATGAATCACCATGTCCAGCCAGTTTTTATATTTTCAGTAAAGATGGGGTTTCACCATGCTGGCCAGGCTTGTCTTGAACTCCTGATCTCCAGTGATCTGCCTGCCTCAGTCTCCCAAAGTGCTGGGATTACAGGCATGAGCCACTGCGCCCAGACTTGTTATAAAACTCTTTTAAGAAAATCAGGCAGCTGAGCGCGGTGGCTCACACTTGTAATTCCAGCACTTTGGGAGGCAGAGATGGGCAGGTTGCCTGAGGCCAGGAGTTCTGGCCAACATGGTGAAACCCCATCTTTACTGAAAATATAAAAATCAGCTGGGCCTGGTGGCGCATACCTGTAGTCCCAGCTACTTGGGAAGCTGAGGCAGGAGAATTGCTTGAACCCAGGAGGCGGAGGTTGTCTTGAGCCAGTATGGAGCCACTTCACTCCAGCCTGAGGGACAGAGTGAGACTCTGTCTAAAGAAAAAAAAAATCCCAACAAATGAGGTGGGTCTCATTTTGTTGTTCAAGCTGGTCTTGAACTCTTGGCCTCAAGTAATTCTCCCACCTCAGCTTCCTGAGTAGCCAGAATTCAGTTGCATACCATCATGCCTGGCTTTTTTTTTTCATTTTTGAATATTTCTAATCATCAGATTCAGTGTGTACTTCAAAGAGGAAAGATTTGTTTTAAAAAGAACATGTATTTTGCCAGTGTGGTGGCTCATGCCTGTAATCCAAGCACTTTGTGAGGCTGAGGTGGGTGGATCACTGAGGTCAGGAGTTTAAGACCAGTCTGACCAACACGGTGAAACCCTATCTCTATTAAAAACACAAAAATTAGCTGGGTGTGGTGGCGTGCACCTGTAATCCCAGTTACTTGGGAGACTGAGGCTGGAGAATCATTTGAACCCGGGAGGCAGAGGTTGCACTGAGCTGAGATCAGGCCATTGCACTCCAGCCTGGGTTACAGAATGAGACTCTGCCTCAAAAATAAATAAAAATTTAAGAATATATTTTATATTCTTATAGTGATATTTTTACCAGCAGTATGTAATAATGAGCACTGAAATTAGGCGGACCTGGTTCAAATCCTGCTTTGCCATTTTTTAGCCGTGTGATCTTAGGCAAGTTACTTTCTTCTCTGAGCCATTCCCCTCCTTACAAGGCTTTTGTAGGATGTAATGAGATAATGTTTTAAAAATAAGAGTTAGGCCGGGGCAGTGGCTCATGCCTTTACATCCTAGCACTTTGGGAGTCCGAGGAAGGTGAATCACTTGAGGCTAGGAGTTTGAGACCAGGCAGATCAACATGGTAAAACCCCATCTCTATTAAAAATAGAAAAATTAGCTGGGCATGGTGGCACATGCCTGTAATCTCAGCTACTTGGGAGGCTGAGGCAGGAGAATTGCTTGAACTTGGGAGGTGGAGGTTGCAGTGAGCTAAGATGGTGCCACTGCACTCCAGCCTAGGTGATAGAGCGTGACTCCATCTCAAAAAAAAAAAAAAAAAGTGTTAACATAGTTTACTCACTTGTATAATAGCCTTATAAATTAGGTACTGTGATTGTCATTTTACAGCTGAGAAAACTGATGCCCACCACCACATAACTAGTACATGCTAGTGCCCGTCTTTGAACCCAGGCCAGCTTGGGCACCTGCCCTCTGATTTCCGTGATGTGCTTTGCCATGTGCTCAAAGCCTTTGGAACAGTCCCTGGCATTAGTAAATGTCCAATAAATGGTGGCTGTGTTATGATTGTTTTTTTTTCATCTTGACTTGGGGGTGCTTTGGCCAGAATTTCAAATCTATTTTGTATCTTTTAAGGCTTGTAAATTTTGTAATCTTTGCTGCAAAGCTGTTGAATTTCCAGGATTAATTTCCCCCTTTTCTTCAAATGTTTAAATTGCAGGTGCAACTGCCAAAAGAACTCGCTTAAGAGGCAGCAGAGTCATGTAGAAAAACAGGAAATGGAAATAATGACTTATGGATTACAGCATGGAGACTATGTCAGCAGCAATACTTTAGGATTCACGTGGCGGAACTGGGAACAATGCTACCATCTGATGGGGTATTTGTAAAAGGCAGAATGTTTGGGCAATGAAGAATTAGGGGCTAAAGAAGAAGATGGAAGGAGATAAAATATAATATTCAGGCTGGGCGTGGTGGCTCACGCCTGTAATCCCAGCACTGTGGGAGGCCGAGGTGGGCGGATCACAAGGTCAGGAGATTGAGACCATCCTGGCTAATACGGTGAAACCCCGTCTCTACTAAAAATACAAACACATATACACATATATGCATATGTGTATGTATGTATTCAGAGGCAACATTTTCCACTTGCAATCAATTTGAGTTACTTAGGTGAAATTTAGAGTCATGTTTCCAGAAACAGTAGTTAAGAAAATTGTTTTTAAACAAACATTCACTTTATTATTATTTTCTTATGGAAAATAATAAATATAACAGAAGTGTTAACTATTATATTCCCATTTTTTTCTCCTTCCATCTCTTCTGCTGTAATCCATCACATAGTATTTTAAAAGAAACAATGTTTCATCCTATGAAAATGTGAAGGATGAATTGAGCTCCTGGCCCTTCTGATGCTTTGAAATGAGAGAATTTTTCCTTAGCACTTCTCTGGAGAATCAGTGGAGCTTTTCAGTTTCCCACCCTGCCTGGCTTTCTCCCTCAGTGACTTCCTTGGTATTTTGGAATATTCTTTCTATAGGAGTATCTTGGAGGAGCAGAACACATAAGCCACAGAATGTGGTGAAAACTAAGTGTCACTAGGAAAAGTAATGGGAAATGTAAACCCTGCATATGTGTAAACTTCCTGGCAGCAAGTTTTCACATATAGGGGGACAATGGAAGACAGCATGCTGTTTTTATAGGAAAAAAGTTTTACATAATATCGTTAATGACAAGCTTTTGGTTTTGGCTAAATAAACTCACACACATATACCCACTCATATACGGTTTACTCTGTATGTCTAATTTGATTTTATCACTCTCAAACATCTTTTAAAGGAAACTTGCTTACAGGATTAAACTTGAACTACTTATCCTATCCTTCAAGGTGCTCCATTGGCTGGCCCCAATTTACTAATCCTGTCTTATCTCCCACAAATCCTTTATACTCCTCTTGATGAAACATCCTTGTGCACACTCACTGTGCCTTTGCTCGAATTAACCCTTCCATAGAACACCCCCCAAGAGACTTCCCACCTGCTCTCCATTAATGAAAGTCCTATCCAGTCTTCAATACCCAGGTCAGATCCTGTGTCCTCCATAAAATCTTTCCAGACAATTCTAATCTGTCCTCCTTCCAAGTTCCTAGAGGCCTTAATTATGCTAGTCACTAGGTGCATAGAATTTGAGATTTTTGTAATAGAAGTAGTGTGAACCCTAGAAATTAGATCAAGCTTTGGGCCGGGCGCGGTGGCTTACACCTGTAATCCTGGCACTTTGGGAGGCAAGGCCGGCGGATCACCAGAGGTCAGGAGTTTGAGACCAGCCTGACCAACGTGGTGAAACCCTGTTTCTACTAAAACAAACAAACAAAATTAGCTGGGCATGGCAGCTCATGTCTGTAATTCCAGCTACCTGGCAGACTGAGGCAGGAGAATCGCCTGAACACGGGAGGCAGAGGTTGTGCTGAGCTGAGATTGCCATAGCACTCTAGCCTGTGCAACAAGAGCAAAACCCAGGCTCAAAAAAACCAAATTCTAGAAAGCCCCTATACATTTGTTTGTATAGCCACAGTATTAATAAAGTCAGGAATTTCAAAAAGTGCTGAAAGAGGGTTTTTATCTTAGATATACGAAAAAAAAAGATGATCCAATATCATAGCTTATGGCCTCAATACACAGGTTTTGCCAAAAGAGGTGAAACAGTTCACATTATGCTTTTTCTAACTACCACCTGACCCTAAAGATCTTACAGATTTTAACTTGTTTTTCAAATGTAATCATAATTTACCACATTTATATGTTACATTTTTCTATTACCCTTTCAGAATTGACCACGGCCATTAGTAATTACGAGTATCTTTTTTTTTTTTTTATTAGTCTCTCTGTGTTATATTTCATCATCAGAATTCACCTTGTAGAAAATGAAAGGGGCTAAGGTATATAAAACTCATGTCAGGTTTAAAAATAGGACCCCATTAGAATTGTTTTATTCTGGCTGTAAGTTTAAAGTATTCAAGCTTTACTAAACAGTATTTGAAACGGCTAAAGGGTTTGCTATATAGCGCATCTTCACTGTTTATAGGGTTGTCGCCAAGTGTCTCAGATATTTAAGACAGATATGTGTTAAATAAAGTCTCACCAAAAAAAACCTTTAATCAATTTTATTCTTCATATTTGGGTAAGGGTACAGATGCTAGACCATGTCTGTAAAGTCATGGTGATATCACTGTGCTAAAGATGATGGCTATAGGTTGGCTGAGAATTTAAAATGCAAGAAAGATTAGAAGGAGCATATCATTGCTGCTTATTCTAGGACATATAAAGAGTTTCTTCAGTAAGTGCCACTCCAGTTGACTTCACAATTTAATGCTACGGAAATCTAAATGTTTCCGCTTCCTCTATGAAATCATTCAAATGGTAGGCAAAACATTTTTTATAACCTATTTATAAAAACATGAGGAATGAACAAAAAGTAATAGAATGTATAAACTCATGCTATCATAATTCTAACGTCTAGCTATAAAAGCATATGGTTGTAACAACTGCCATCTAAAATTTTTATGAGCTGCGGAAGCTGCATTCCATTTGCATTACCACTTTTTAAAGTCTTTTTGCTTGGTCACCTAAAGATGTTTTTCAAATTTCAAATGATCAGCCATTGTTGTCCTCCTTATACCCCTAAGGAATTAATAAAATGCACATTGATTTCCTTCTTTCTAAATGTTTCAGTTAAAAACTAAACAATAAAAAAAATGGGAAACATTATCTTGGACCTTTTTTGTTTTTTCATTGTAACAACAAAAAATGTGCAAGGTAAACAGAAGTCAAGTTTGTTTTATTTTTTTGTCTGTTTTTTAACAGGTCTGTCCAGAATAATATAGGTTACAGAGCTGTAACCATCTTAAGGAAAGTGACATTAAGTTTGCAACAAATACCTGCTGGTGAAAACATATTACTAGCATTTCAAAAACTTACAAAAATGTAACAAAATATCCTAGACAGCTACTTTTATATTTGTAAACAAAGTATAAACAACTGGTTTAACCAGTTTCCACTGCACATCAAACAGGGAAAAGTGATAGAGATCATCTTTGATTTTTAAAGAATAATAATAAAAACTAATTTATATTCCACACTTAAATTCTAGGGGATTAGAAACAGGCTAACACATGATGTCATCTACTGTAACAGCCTCTTCATTTACTCGTATTGTCTTGATACTTTGCAATAATTTTTTATTCCTATAACAGTATCGTTGGTGTAAAAGCCATAATTCTTTTATTTTTTTATTCCCTTAAAGAAATAGTGTGATCTATTTCCCATTAGATTTCATAAACACAATGAAATTTCAGACACAATAGGAGGGTGGTGGTTTTCTTTCCGTCTCTGAGGCCTCCCCTCTGAAACATCAGAGCTGATAATAGTTCGGCCTACACATGCATGCTCCCATAGACAATTGGGTGGTACGTGCACCTCCTATTTCAAAAACACAAGCAGAAAGTAGGTCTGGACAAGGGCAAACTGCAACTCAATTTCTGCTGCAACCCTATCTCAGGTAAGTTATGTTTATTCCTTCATTTTGTTGATATAGTCAGTGAATTTGTTGACGTTTTCTTCCTGCTGTTCTAGAGCATCCAGGACAATGCCCATCGGTGTCCTCTTCAAACCTATTCCTTCCATTTTATTCTCCAGTTTGTTCTTGAGGTTCCGAAGCCTCAACGATGCATGGATAAACATCACTGCGGAGAAGTGACACCTGGTTAACCCCAAAGCAACAACTCTCTTTTGCCACATCAATATTACACTCCCTTTCTCCACACTTTCAGTCAACTGCCTGAGTTAGCTGCAGTCCAGTCTGCTTCTCTAATTGATCCAAGCCTTCAAATGGCTCCTTGGACTTTATATAAAGCTCTTCATCAAGTCACACATAGTTTTTTGCCGCACTGAAGAAAAATGCTATATTCAACAGGAAGGATCATCATCTGGAAGCCACACCCTTTCCTTCACACACTGACATCATCATCACCTTGAAGATGTTACTTAACTGCCCTGAAATTTAGAGTGTAGCAACGTGATTCCATCCTACCTAAAAATCAAGCTACTGGAGGCTTTCCAGAAAAGAACTCTTGCTTGATTCAGGAATTATCTGTATCTTGTTCCCTGCAGGAGCATGTGAGTGAAGTCCACTTTTAAAGTGCCTCCTAGAAGCTTTTCCCAAAGTGTTGGGTACAGAATTCTAGATTTAAAAGTCTAAGGGTTTTATAGAGTTTATGTAGCCCACTGTTCCCCAAACTTGTTTGATTATTTTACCACAGATTCCCTGTCCCCTTTCCTGGACCTCCTCAACCTGAGCCTTAAAGAGACAGGCCTGGGAATCTGAATTTTAAACAGGTAACCCTCTCTCCATATGTGATCTATACCAGTGGTTTTACAACTTCCATGTGCATTCAAATCATCTGGAGAGCCTGCAATTTCCTTGTCTCCACCACCCCAAATTCAAACTGTTACAACTGAGGGAAGGCTCCAGAAATTCATTATTTTAATAATCACTCTGGAAGATTCTGATGTAGGTGAATCTTGGAACTTCATTTTGAAAAACACTGATGTGGATTCATCTGGAGGATGCCAACCTAGACCGTCCATCAGAAATAGTTGAGGAGCTTTCTAAAAATATAATATCCTTGGGCACCATTGTTGATCCACAAAATAAAGATGTGGCTAGAAAAATTTATATTTTAAAACAGTATCCTGGATGATCTTCACAATTACCAGTTTGGGAATCACTTATCTAAACTCCTTATTTTAGAGATGAATGAACTACAGTCCATTTAGGATGACTGGTCCAAATCTGGTTTCTAGCAGTCTAAGAATAGAAATCAGGACTCTTGACTGTCTACCTCTGATACATTTCATTACACTGGCCTGTCGCAGACTCTGATATGGAATGGTGTTGAAGTCAGCAAGCTGTTTGATTAAATAACATCATTGAAATACTAAGCCTATAGCACCTACAGAAAACCTGAAGAAAATTTTAAAAAGTCTGAATTTATTGGTTCAAACATTTTATCCAATATGGTATGGGATGCATCCATGAATATTCTTAATCTAACAAAGCCCTAAACAAGCAATTAATTTCACTTAATGGAATGAATGCACTTGTAAAATGTTATTGAAAGTTAAAGGGATGTGCCTGTCACTTAATACACTAAAATTTTAATCAGATTTCCACTGATTAGGCTGGGATTTTATTTCTTCTCTATTTTAGGCTTCAAGTGTTTAGAGTCTTACTAAATAATGCATGTAAAACTTAGAGAATGTCTAGATCTCTTAACCAGAATCTGAGTATTTACTACCTACATTTTGGGCCAATTATTCCTATAGACTTACCAAACTCTTAACACTAGTTATGATCTCCTGAGAAAGTATAGTTTACTTTCAAATAATAAATACATTCATTCCTGTGTCGGGACAATAAAAATGGCACTTAAAGATTGAGAATAGACTCTAGAATTACACAAATCTGGGGTCTAGTGCAGGTTATACCACATCCCTGCTGTATGACCTGGGATTTGTCTCTGTTCTGTTTACTGTTGTGTCCCCATAAGAATGTATGACATGGCTGGGTGCAGTGGCTCATGCCTGTAATCCCAGCACCTGGGGAGTCCAAGGCAGCTGGATCACTTGAGCTGGGGAGTTCAGGATCAGCCTGGGTTTGGTAGAGAAACCCATCTCTACCAAAAATACAAAAAATTTTATTTAGCTGAGTGTGCACCTGTGGTCCCAGCTACTCAGGAGGCTGAGGTGGGAGGATCACTTGAGCCCAGGAGGCAGAGGTTGCAGTAAGCCGAGATCACACCATAGCATGGGTGACAGAGTAGACCCCATCTCAAAAAAAGAAAAATGTATGACACTTCCCAACAAATATTTGTGAAATTAGTGAACTATGAGGCCTTGACTCTACTCAAAATACCCAAATTAGCCAGGTGTGGTGGCATACGCCTGTAATCCCAGCTACCTGGGAGGCTGAGGCAGGAGAATCACTTGAACCTGGGAGGCAGAGGTTGCAGTGAGCTGACATTGGGCCACCGCACTCCAGCTTGGGCAAGCTGGAGTAAGACTCTATCTCAAAAAAAAAGAAATGGGTTATGGAATTCCCTTTGGATAATTGCTACTAATTTTTTTTATGATGTAAGAAAAAGAAAACTCAGGTTCACTTACACAGCAAAGGAAAAGTGATGCCAAACACAAAGACCATGACTCCTCCGAACATGGATATAAGGAAATAGCTCGCCAACATGACCACCATAACGAACGTCGTGGGGTAGCGCTTCTTCATCCGGCGAAGGACGTCTTTATTGTGGGCTGCCCACACAAACCCTGTGAACACCAGCACCACCACGATTCCTCCCAGGATCATGTTGAAGGGACTCAGAAACCTGAAATATGGGGAAGAAAAAATAAGGGGTGACTAGTTCAGCAACAGAAGCAGCAAAAGAAGAGGGACGAGAAGGAGAAATAAAAACAATTACTGAGAATTTACCAATAATACTTTCTCTAAATTGTGTCATTTAATTTCTCATAACCTTATGAAGGCAATATTATTAGTTCATTTCTCAAATGAAGAAACTAAGGCAGCCAGGCATGGTGGCTCACACCTGTAATCCCAGCATTTTGGGTGGCCGAGGCAGGTGGATCACCAGGTCAGGAGTTCGAGCCCAGCCTGGCCAACATGGTGAAAGTCTGTCTCTACTAAAAATACAAAAGCTAGCCAGGTTTGGTAGCGCATGCCTATAGTCCCAGCTACTCAGGAGGCTGATGCAGGAGAATCACTTGAACCCAGGAGGGGGAGGTTGTAATGAGCCAAGATGGCCCATTGCACTCCAGCCTGGACGACAGCAAGATTCCACCAAAAAAGGAAGAAATGGAAGGCAGGAAGGCAGGAAGGCAGGAAGGCAGGAAGGCAGGAAGGACGGAAGAAAGGAAGGAAGGAAGGAAGGAAGGAAGGAAGGAAGGAAGGAAGGAAGGAAGGAAGGAAGGAAGGAAGGAAGAAAAGGAGGAAGGAAGGAAGGAAGGGAAGGGAAGGAAGAAAGGAAAAAAACCTAAGGCACAGAGGTAAGAAAATGGTGGGGAAGGCCGGGAATGGTAGCTCACACCTGTGATCCCAGCACTTTGGGAGGCCAAGGTGGGAGGATCACCTGAGCCCAGGAGTTCAAGACCAACCTGGGCAACATGGCAAAATCCCATCTCTACAAAAATACAAAAATTAGCCAAGTGTGGTGGCACATACCTATATTTCCAGCTACTCAGGAGGCTTAGGTGGGAGGACTGCTTGAACTTGGGAGGTTGCGGCTGTAGTGAGCCAAGATTGCACCACTGCACTCCCACCTAGGTGACAGAGTGAGACCTTGTCTCAAAAAACAAAAAAAAAAAAAGTGGAGCTGAGAAAGTAGTAGTCCATATCTCATTAGAGGCCCACAGTTTTGAAGACTAAAACTCCTGAAGGGACTGTGTTTAGCTTCCACACATCCTGGGCTCTAGTACACAGCAGGTTGTGTTAAGGATTTATTTAAATCCTCAAAGAAGTTCATAATGGATGGATGTAGACTGCAGGCCACATAATGGCCTCCATGGGCCAGATCCAGTCTACAATCACATTTTTGTCTGGCCTGTACAGTGCTACATTTATTTGAAACTCATTTGTTTAAAAAAAATAATCCATAAAACTTGGGATTTCTTATTCTCCTAAAACAAGAAAATCTAACAGTGTTAGGCCCACTTTCCCACATGTCAACAGCTGGCTTGAGTGCCTTTTCATTCAGACAGAATAAATGCTCTTCATTAAGCCCCAGTCCACAATGCTCTCTACTGCATCATGGACATAGAGGCCCAAAGTGAGGGGCTATTAATCATCGTTTTTCTTCTTTTTTTTTCTTTGAGACATAGTCTTACTCCATTACCCAGGCTGGAGTGCAGCAGCATGATCCTGGCTAACCACAACCTCTGTCTCCTAGGTTCAAGCAATTCTCATGCCTCACCCTCCTGAGCAGCTGGGATTACAGGTGCATGCCACCACAACTGGCTAATTTTTTGTATTTTAATAGAGATGGGGTTTTGCCATGTTGGCCAGGCTGGTCTTGAACTCCTGGCCTCAAGTGATGTGCCCATCTTGGCCTCCCAAAGTGCTAGGATTATAGGCATGAACCACTGTACCCAGCCTAATCATTGTTTTTCTAATAGCTGGCCTGAATTACTCTCTTACATAACCTGCCTGCCCCATGGAGGCATATGAGTTTACGACTCCTCACACAGAGAGTTTATTGTAAGTCTTTCAAAATGCCCAAAGTATCATTAGGAGATTAGTTATCAGTGCAGATTTTCATGCACACAGTTCCAGACTCATTCTTATATAAGGTCTTTGTTATGTGATAGCAATTACACTACTATTGATAATAGAGGAAACACATTATGAAGAATAAATGTAAGCCAGGCGCGGTGGCTCATACCTGTAATCCTAGCACTTTGAAAGGCCTAGGCAGGGGGATCATCTGAGGTCAAGAGTTCAAGGCCAGCCGGCCAACATGGTGAAACCCCACCTCTACTAAAAATGCAAAAATTAGCTGTGCATGGTGATGGGTACCTGTAATCCCAGTTACTTGGGAGGCTCAAGCAAGAGAATCACTTGAACCCGGGAAGCGGAGGTTGCAGTGAGCCAAGATTCTGCCACTGCACTCCAACCTGGGTGACAGAGGGAGACTCTGTCTCCAAAAAAAAAAAAAAAAGTTGAAATTTCTATAATTAGTATATTATTTCATAATCAGAAATAAAATATAAAAACAGCTGCTCTCCAACCCACAACCCCCACTTGGCATAGGCCAACCACAGAAGTCCATCTCTACTTGTCTCATCTCTCCAACAACATTAAAGGAATTTCAATTCATGAACCACAGTGAAGCTGTTCCTTCTCCAATCCAAACCCTGGTTTTCTGCTCATCCTTCAGATCCTCTTGTGCCAGTCTGTACCACCCCAGTGTCCCAAGCTTCCCCAATACCCAGCACATGTGCCATTCTGTCTGCCCTCTTCCCCTCCCTCTTGGTTTTGTTATCTGAGTCTACTTGGCCTCTCTTCACTTTCCTTTCTATTTTATTTTATCTGGATATACTCTTTGGAGATAACCCCGGAATTGGTCTGGGAAAGACAAAAATTTCCTTATATGCCTGAGGAAAGAATCTGATAAGGCAAAACTACAATTCCCTTCAGCCAGTTGTAGAGAGTGGAGAGTGGATGAAGAGGCCTTAAAACTCTTATAAATTAATATATCTAATCCCAGCACCACAAAAGATTCTAGGCTAGTGTTTTAGCTTACATCTGTAATCCCAGCACTTTGGGAAGCTGAGGTGGCAGGTGGATTGCTTGAGCCCATTCTAGGCAACATCGTGAAACCCCATCTCTACCAAAAAATAAAATAACCCACAAAAATTAGCCAGGTGATGTAGTGCACACCTGTAATACCTACTACTACTCGGGAAGCTGAGGAGGATCACCTTAGCTCAGGAGGTCAGGATGCAGTGAGCTGTGACTGCACTATGACACTCTAGCCTGGGTAACAGAGTAAGATCCTGTCTCAATTAAAAATAAAAAGATACTTAGAGAAATTGAGAAATTATACCAAAGACTACAGTATAGTAAGATAAGAGGAGTTTATTTCCATTTGCTTATTTTTATTTTCATATTTTTTTTCAAATGTATTCCTTGTATTTGAAAAAAATATGAAAATAAATGTATTCCTTGATGAATTCCTTGGTGTATTGATGTAGTCCATGTATTCCTTGATGAATTAAAACACTGATATTTAAAAAAAAAACAAATGAAATTGGGGAAAGGCTCCTGAATGTAACAAACCCTTTTAAAAAGCCTTGACTTTGACCTATAATCTACCCAAATGTTTCTTCTGAGCCGTAAAGAAAAGCAAAGATTGCTGGGCACTGTGGCTTATGCCTGTAATCCTGCCACTTTGGGAGGCTGAGGTGGGTGGATCATGAGGTCAGGAGATTGAGATCATCCTGGCCAACATAGTGAAACCCTGTCTCTACTAAAAATACAAAAATTAGCTGGGTGTAGTGGTGTGTGCCTGTAATCCCATCTACTCGGGAGGCTGAGGCAGGAGAATCGCTTGAATCCAGGAGGCAGAGGCTGCAGTGAGCTGAGATTGCAGCACTGTACTCCAGCCTGGGTGACAGAGTGAGATTCCATTTAAAAAAAAAAAGAAGAAAGAAAAGGTTAAATCAATCAACACAAAGAACTCATGAAGGATTGAAATTTAAGGAAATTCCTTTGCATACCCTGCAAATAGAGGGTTGGCTAGCAGCAAAGCATTAAAAGGCTCCTACTCAGTTCATTCTAAAATACTTATTAAAATAATAATTCATGAAGTGAAGAATATAATACAATTCATGTCAAGCTTTTTCTACTTTCCTCTAGACAAGTAAAATAGATGTTTAGGTTGAGTGCATAAATAAAGTCCAGGACAAAGAACAATGAAAAATCCAGTGCTAACTGAAGCAATTCCAAATTTGCTTTTCATCTGTTGCTCATGTTCAAGGGAACAGAACAGAGCTTGGTGTCCTATAGCACTGGTTTTAGTTCACAACCTCCCCAGCAACAGTCTATAATTAGAAAGTAACCAAGTTTCCAAGCTGGAAAGAACACTAACAAAGTTACTCAGAGCAGAAGTGATTTTCTTCTATGTTCTGATAAAATGTATACCACTCCAGTGCCCTGGCCCTTACCTGCACTTGGAGCAAAATAAGACAGACAGACTCTCACACTCTCTAGAGAGTAACAAAAATTCTCAGAAATTTGGAAACCAGTTCTTGCTTGAGATGCTTTAAAAACAGTTGGGCTGTTAATCACACCAATCCCAACAAACTCCAAAAACTTTTAGAACAAAACTTTCTATTAATATGCCACCCATCTTTCATGTAGACAACTGGCTCTGGGTTCTCCCAGTTTTACTTGCTGGTAGTCCTTGAGTGAAAAAGAGGGCCGGGCCTGGTGGCTCACACCTGTAATCCAGCATTTTGGGAGGCTGAGGTGGGCAGATCACCTGAAGCCAGGAGTTCGTGACCAGCCTGGCCAACATGAGGAAACCTCATCTCTACCAAAAATATGAAAACTAGCTGGGCATAGGGTCCATGCCTGTAATCCCAGCTATTCAGGAGGCTGAGACACAAGAATCATTTGAACCCAAGAGATAGAGGTTGCAGTGAGCTGAGATTGTGCCACTGCACTCCAACCTGGGAGACAGAGCAAGACTGTTTCAAAAGAAAAAAAAAGAACAAGAGACAGAGAAGACAGAGAGAGAGGAGAGGGAGAGGAGAAAGGCAGAGCATGTGATTTTCTGTCACATGGATATAGGTAGAAACAGGACTTAGTTTTGCAACAGGAAAACCATAATGTTTTTATGCTGTGAGATTAAAAATATTTCATACATATGTTTATATATTTAAAAAATGAACATGTATTATCCCATTCCAATAAACAACTAATAAATCATTCCCTATAATAGTTATACATTCTAGGGCAGTCGTTTATGGTTGTCAAAAGGTTTAGAATTCCATCACAGAAATTTTGTAGCAGTCTTCAAAGATGACTCAGTCTAGTCCAGTTATACAGATAACGAAACTGAGGCCCAGAGAAGGGAAGAAACATGAAAACAAGGGTGCCAGCTGTGGCAGCAACTCACAGTAGAACTCATTCTGTTGTTAACCAGCTTTAGGAATTCCCCCCACATTCTGAGTAACCCGATAACCAAGGATCATCCTGGGAAATCCCTCTACAATCTAAATTCTCTCTGAAACAAGGTGGCTATTAGTGGGTGTGGATACAGGTCCTAAACTTGCCAACGTGATTCAGTAGCTACATGTATAGTTTTACCCCATGCTGCTGAAAGGGAAAAAAAAATCTCACAAAATTTTAGAGCTAGGAAGGATCTTGCTAACCCACCTCACTTTACGTATAAGCAAGCTAAGGAATACACAGGTTAAGACATTTGTCCAAAACCACCAATTGCAAAGCTGGTAATAAAATTTTGCCGTAACAGAAATCCTCGGATCAACTCAAGGGCACATTGGGTGACTCCTGTCATGCTGCAAGGCCAAAAAGAACCACCAAAGAGGCAGCAAAATATTTCCTAAGAAGTGCCGGCAGCTTTGCACTAAGTTCCAATTTTTCTAACTGAAAAAGCTATTTTTGCAGTGTGGTTCCTGAGAAAGGCTGACTCACTGAAAAAGTGGGGAACAATTTACTCACAGTGGACTTCTCTAAATTGGCGATGTTTCTCTGTGTCCCTTAATCAGCCAGTGGGATCTCCACAAATAGGAACCCACCCAACCATTTTCTTGCTTCTCATTGTTCTTAGACTGAAAACAGAATTCTTTACACATTCTACAAGGCCAGGGCCGCTGGATAGAGTTACAGTTGTGGAGTTGGTGCCTGGCTGAGGGGGTAAGTGGGCCTGGAATCCAGGTCATGCCCTGCACGACACAAGGCAAAAATTTGGCTTAGGCTGCATGTGCTAGGACAGGAAGAGGTGCCTTAGTAACTACCATGAAGGAACTCTCAGGGCTAGCAGCTGTCCTACCTGTCAGCTTTGTCACACCATCTCCTGATTCCACCTCCATCCACTCAGGGTTTCTATCTACCCTAGAACTCACCTTGCCTTTTGGCCATCCCAGGGTGGGGTGTGACAAAGTCACAATGCTCTCTCTGACCAGAGCACAGCTTCATATGCCTTTTCGTTTCTTTTCTTTTTTCAAAAAAGGTTCTTGCTCTGTCATTCAAGCTGGAGTGTGATGGCACGGTCATAGCTCACTGCAGCCTCTACCTTCCAGTCAAGTGCCCTTCCTCAGCCTCCCAAGTAGCTCAAACTACAGGTAAGTGCCAGCATAGCTGGCTAATTTTAAATTTGTTTTTTTTTTTTTTTTTTTTGTAGAGATGGGATCTCACCATGTTGCCCAGGCTAGTCTCAAATTCCTGGCTCAAGTATTCCTCCTGCCTTGGCCTCCCAAAGTGCTGGGACTACAGGCATGAGCCACTGTGTCTAGCCAACATGCGTTTTTTTTTGCTTTTGTTTTTGTTTTTTTTGAGATGGAGTCTCACTCTGTCACCCAGGCTGGAGTGCAGTGGTGTGACCTCGGCTCACTGCAATCTCTGCCTCCCGGGTTCACAGGATTCTCCTGCCTCCGCCTCCCAAGTGGCTGGGATTACACGCACACACTACCACGCCCAGGTAATTTTTGCATTATTAGTAGAGACGAGGTTTCACCGTATTGGTCAGGCTGCTCTCAAACTCCTGACTTTGTGATCCACCTGCCTCAGCCTCCCAATGTGCTGGGATTACAGGCATGAGCCACTGCACCCGGCCCATGCTTCTTTTTTTCACAGCACTATCCCCATGGCAGTTTCACATTTATTTACATGAGTATTGGATGAATGTCTCTAGTCCCTACTAAAGATTACATTCCATGAGAACAGGGACTATGATATTTTATCCCCAGCGCCTAGCACAGTACCTGGCACAGAGTAGGTATTTTATAAATATTTGCTGAAAGGAAAAAAGAAAGTAAGAATCTAGCACATTTTCATGTTATTTAAATAGGTTCAGCAACTTTCTATGGCCGTAAGTTAAGTGACATGAGATGTATCTTGGATAAACCACTGTTAAAAGGTTTAGCATCTCGTCACAGAGTATTGAGTGCACAGTGTTAGTCTTGGGGAAATAATTCCTTCACAGAGCTGTGAAGAAAGAGACAAATGAAAAGGCAAAAGTGGGGAAAAATTGTCTGAATTCCTAAACACATGTAAGGGACAATTAATATGAAATGATAGAATGAAGCAGAAGGGCACTTTGGCTTGCTGGAAGGAGGAACCTTTGTAGGCTTTGCTGCTGGGGGGCCAAGAAGGACAGCAGGAATGGGATGGAAGGAGATTCACACCCCTGCAGAGCCTTCCCTGCAGGCTCCTTTTGCTCTCTGAGTCCTCAGGTAATTCCACAGACTTCTGTGACTGTTTTGGTTTCTCAAAGTGGCTTCTGTCCTTTTTGTTTTGAGAGAGAGTCTTGTTCTGTTGCCCAGGCTGGAGTGCAGTGGTGCCATCTCAGCTCACTGCAACCTCTGCCTCCCAGGTTCAAGCGATTTTCATGCCTCAGCCTTCCCAGTAGCTGGGATTACAGGCATGCACCACCGTGCCCAGCTAATTTTTGCATTTTTAGGAGAGACGAAGTTTCACCATATTGGTCAGGCTGGTCTTGAACTCCTGACCTCACGTGATCTACCCGGCTCGGCCTCCCAGAATGAAGAACTATTTTTGACTGCAGGTATAAATGTGGGCTTTGGACACAAATCAGTCTTGAGTAAATGAAACCAGTGTCTCCTGGGCTTAAGGATCATGGAGTACAGAAGACTGCACAGTAGGTAAAACTGAACTGGAGCGTGTCTCTTTTGTCACAGGAACGTCGTAGTGAGATTTTCCTCACCAACTGAATTAGGAAGACCTAGAGGATTGCATTCTTGCCATTTCCTAAATATTTACTGTATCCTGTGTAATTTGGCACAAACTAAACACTCGCATTTAAACCAGCCATTGTCTTTTCAGCAGTTGGTATGTTAAAAATGTTCACACTAAGGCAAGCCTTAGGAACCTTCAGGTTTTCTTCTTTTGTTTTCAATAAACAACAGGTTGGACTTGGGTTACAAACCATAAATCTGACGCTTCCCACAGTGACAGAGCTTCAAATAATAGTTGTGTACAAAGCTCTGATTAGACTTCAAGAAATCCTTTTTAACTTTTTATTATGGAAAACTTCTAACAGTACATAAGTAGAGAGAATGTATAATGAATCCTCATGTATACTCATCACTGCTTTCAACAATTAGCAACCTATGGTTACTCTTACAACCAATAATTTTAGGGGAACAAAAGCAGAAAAATATTCATTTACAAACTGTTCTTCCTGAATGATTTTAGTAAATTAAAAAAAAAAAAAAAAGTGAGGCTCACTCACTACTGTAATCCCAGCACTTTGGGAGGCTGAGGTGGGCAGATCAGTTGAGGCCAGGAGTTCCAGACCAGTCTGGCCAACATGGTGAAACCCTGTCTCTACTAAGAATACAAAAATTAGCCTGGCATAGTGGTACGTGCCTGTAATTCCAGCTACTCAGGAGGCTGAGGCAAGAGAATCCCTTGAACCTGGGAGGTGGAGGTTGCAGTGAGTCATGATCCTGCCACGGCCTCCAGCTTGAGTGATGGAGCCAGACTCTGTCTTAACAAAGCAAAACAAACAAAGCTACTGAGAACTGTCACATGGCAAATTCTTATAGAGCTGTGGGGAGAAGACAGGGCCTGGACAAGTGCTAACAAACTTGGCAACACAGACTTCCTTCCCACAAGTTTCCTGTCTATTTATGCCTCACTAACCCCCCAGTTTCTGCCTTCTTTTTTGTTCCTCTGAGACAAGGAGAAGCTGCACCAAAGAGATATAGAGTAGATTAGAAGAAGCAGGGCTTTCTGCCTTCCAGGTGTCTCCTTTAGCAAATTGCATAATGAGAGGGAGGGCCAGGAAATCCTATCATACATATATCAATGATGAATGCTTGTAAACCTGAAGTTGTTAGCTTGAAGGTTTTGCCTAAAATTACAGGGCTTGAAGGCATTCTCAGAAACAGGAAGCCATGCTTATTTCAAGAGACAGTGGATGGTATTAAAGGTTAAGTTTTCTGAAGCTGAGTGATATGGATAGAATTCATTTGTCCAAAACAATAATAATAATAAATTTCCAGTGTTGCCACTTAATTAGATATTAAGTGGGTAGGTCAAAAACAGGTCTTGACCTTTTGAACTGGATTTCCTGTACAAAGCTCTCTGTCCCTAAGCTGAGTGAGAGCTTCTGCTCTCTAAGACAGGGGGCCAGCAATCCAAAATACACTCATTTATCTTACCTAGAATCATTGTAAATCTTTACCTAGAGGAAGGAAACAGAAACTACCAACCAAGGCTGAAAGTGGCAGGAAACACTGAAAAAAGAAAAAAAAAGCCGGACAGGGAGGGGAGAAGTTAAGATAAACAAAGTTACATAAATAGTGTCAAAGGTGTGTCAGGCATAGCTCTTGCTTGTCATCCCAGTACTTTGGGAGGTCAAGGCAGGAGGATTGCTTGAGCCTAGGAGTTTGAGTCCAGCCTGGGCAACATGGCAAAAACCCTTCTCTACAAAAAAAAAAAAAAATACAAAAATTAGCCAGGCTGATGGCACATGCCTATAGTCATAGCTAATTAGGATGCTAAGGTGAGAGGTTCACCTGAGCCCAGGGAGGTAGAGGCTGTAGTAAGCCATGACTGTGCCACCACACTCCAGCCTGGGCAACAGAGTAAAACCCTGTCTACAAAAAAATGTGTGTGTGTGTAGTGTCGGAGATTAATGAAAACCAATTATTATTAAATATTTTTATTTATTTATTTACACAGGGTCTCACTTTCTCACCCAGGCTGTAGTGCAATGGCTTGATCTTGGCTCATTGCAACCTCCGCCTCCCAGGCTCAAAAGATCCTCCCACCTGAGCCTCCCGAGTAGCTGGGACCACAGGTGCATGCCACCGTGCCAGGCTAATTTTTTTGTTTGGTAGAGATGGGGTTTCACCATTTGCCCAGTCTGGTCTTAAATTCCTGAGCTTGTGTGATCTACCCACCTTGGTCTCCCAAAGTGCTGAGATTATAGGTGTGAGCCCAGCCTAGATAAAGACTTTTAGATTAAAATTTTATTGTGTGCTGACAGACCTGTTAAAGTTCTATATTCAGAAGAAACTCATAAGCCATCAGAGGAAGACAGATGCCTGCCTCAAGTGCAAATAAATGGGCAGGGAAGGCCAGGAGGATTCTGGGAGGATTTGTGAAGGCTGGTGGAGCTGTACTACTGACTGTATCCTCAAGGCCTAGACAGTTCTGGCACATGATAGGTGCTCAGTATTTGTTCAACGGAGTAGAAGGATCCAAGCTGTGGGTTAATAAGTAAAATTTAATAAGCCTCTCCACTGTCTACATACTCAATGCCTCTCCTATTCCCAACACCTGAGAGTTTTGGAATTTGGAATCACAATGTACATGGGAGATCAGGTAAGTCAGGTGAAGAAGGATGTGTTTATATAGGTGTGTATTTCTGTATACTTGCTGTACTTGTATACAGATTAATTCTAAGGTGTTCAATGTGGTCTTGCTTCCTTTCCACGATGGCAGGAATCACAGCTGTCCTGTTCTTCACTATGTCCTAGCAGTGTCTGAGAAGTTGGTAAGCGATTCATATTCTTTGTTGATTGAATGACTGAAGCAACACAAATAAGAGTAATGCTGTAGAACTGGTGTTGAAGCTGACTAATCTCAAAAACATTTCCACAGGCTTCAGTATAAACAGACCGCAATTCGTTCTGTCTGCAATCATTTTAATACATTCTGATCCAGAGCATCCCACAGCTGCCTTACTCTTTTTTTCCTCTACCAACTGGAAACTTGGTTCTTCATCCTTGTAGCATTTAAAGGTACAAACAATATGAACATTTCATAATACCAAATGCTGGGAGCCACAGGCCTAGAACATATTACAGATCCACCAAGCCACACTCATTTGGAAAAGATGACACTAATGCTCTTTTCAAACAGAATTACCAGCCTTCCAGAAGAAACTGCTTGCCATCTTGAGTAACTGAAAGCATAAAGTGGCAGCTGTCAATTCCACCCTCCTGCAACACATCCACAGGCCAAACGATCATGCCACATGGTGAGGAGTTACTTTAGCTGAGAAAACATGGGCTCATTCCTTTAGCAGCTCCATGGTTCTGTCTAAGGGAGAGGCACAGATGTATGTACATGAGAATAAATGCACCTTCTCTTGCTGGAGAAGCAGCAGAGGCATTTTTGTATGTTGCTAATTCTGTGTGTGGTTGGTGATTCTGAGGGCACACCAGAAAATATGAGTTTTAATGGCAGAAAATAATTTTTTTTTCAGACAGGATTTCACTATGTTACCCAGGCTAGTCTTAAACTCCTGCTCTTAAGCAATCCTCCATCTCTGCCTCCCAAAGTGTTAGGATTACAGGTGTGAGCCACTACACCCGACCAGGAAAAGAACTTTTTAGAATAAGATAGCAATAGTATTACAAATGTTGTAAGAGTCAGGTGTATGCAGTTGAATTTAATTAATCAAGAGCTTTAGAAAATTTGCAATATGGCTTAATGGAAAAAATATTTCACTTCCTAGTATTAGTAGCTATAGTTCCAATTAGCCTGTGACCTCAAGGTTTTATATTTCAGAAAGTTAAGGGGTTCAATAGGATCGGTGTTTCTCCCTGGGGTGTATATCACAATCACTTGGGAAGTTAGAAAAAAAAGAAAAACCAGATGCTTGGACCCTGCCAACAACTATACATTTTGAATCACTGAAGGTGACACCTGGGCATATAGGTGTATTTATTTAAATTTTGTCAGTGTTTCTTTTGAGCCAGACCAACCCAGTGCCTCTCAGATTTGAATGTACCTATGAATCATCTGAGACTCTTGCTAAAATGTAGATTCTAACCCAGTAGGTCTGAAAATGGGGCCTAAGTTGCTTCACTTCCGACAAGCTCTCACGCAAAAGATGCTGCTGTTCCATGGCTCACACACTGAGTAGAGTTCTCCAGCTCAAATTGTTTGGCATTCCATTAAGCACATAGAAATTCTCATCCATAACTAGAATGTATCACATGCTTAGTACTTAAATTGCAAGTTATTGCCTTTGCTTTTCACTTCGAAGATCAAGGTGGAGATTTCTACTGTGTGTGATGTGAAAAGAATATCTTAATGCCAAAACGTCTCACATCAAGGATGCAGAAGGTAAGCCACGGCAACTTCAATGTTAGACACTTTTCCTTCTTGATGTAAAGGATCCAGACACATTTCCGGCAAAACACAAGTTTTCTAGCCTGCTATTCATGCTGTTTTTTGTAAATAATTCAGTCTCTTCTGATCAGAAGTTCAAACACAGATTTATCTCTATCCTTATCCCTCTTAACCTCCATCTTGGTATAAGCAGTTCTTTCCAGTGTTTTTGGATCTAGACAATATTTTCTATGTTCTTCTCTTTCCCTTTCTGGAATCTTGAAGAGCAGGCCTCTCTACCCTCACCTAAGCCAGTTTTCAACATTGGAGAGCTGAGATTAGAGCCCTCCAACAATGACCTTGAGGCCCTCCTCACCAGCAGGGAATGGAACTATTGTTGGACACTCTTTTATCCAGGTTACATTTTCACATACACTCTAGAAGACATCCTGAGAAACTCTGAGACAAGTCAATGGAGGACCCAGAGGAACAGCTTGCAGCACTGCCTTCACCTAGCCATCTACTAGCATCACTGAAAGTGGATAGTTCTTTTGAGAATGAGAAGTGTTCCAGAATCAAGGGAGCTCCCTAACCCTGAAGATGTGTGGTTTCTTCCTCATGACTCATAGGACGATGGAATAGTAATTAAGAGCACATGCCTAAGTTTGTGACTTTGGGTAAATCATTTAACCTCTCTGAGCCTCAGGTTTAATGATAAAAATAACAACAGGGTTTTAAAAATTGGATTCTATGAGATGATGCAAGTAAAATACTTTGCAGAGTACCTGACACACAGAGCACTCAATACATCTTTATTTATATTATTAAATTATAAAGAAAGAAAAGAGAGCAATTTACAGAAAAAACTGACTATGTTTATAATTGCATAGAAAACAGTTGAAGGTTATATGCCAAACTTTTACTGAAGTATGAAGGAAATTTCACATTTTATCCACATAATTTTCAAATCAACCTTTATTATTGGCCTATATTTTTCATAAGTTTTTAAAAATCAGAGTAAGTTTTAAAAACTTCATGGCTACTTTTCACTTTTTCACTTCAAAAATTTCATTGACAACCAACAAGTCTTATTTGAAAGGAGAATGAGGAGGGCCAACACCCCTAAACTACCTGAGTTAGTGGCCTAAGGCACAATACTGATGTAGCTATATTTAGTCAAACGGCTGGCCCCTGGCCTTCACAGTGAAAAATGGATTCCATCAAAGGCAGCAAGGCTGCCTGAGCTTGTGCCTGGTCTCTGGCAGCACACATCTCTGAAAAAAATAAACTTTTTTTTTTAATTGGTCTGTGTCAAACTTTGCCCCACATCTAAGTTTTTGAAGTTAACCTCAAGAAAATACCTCCATAACTAGATCACCAGGTAAGATAAGATGCCTGTCTACTTCTTTGCAAAGAGAAAGCAAAGAAACAAAAACCAAATAACTCATGTAAACCTATTTACTATTTTGTTTTAAAGACATTTTTGGCCAGGCTCGGTGGCCCCTGCCTGTAATCTCAGTGCTTTGGGAAGCCAAGGTGAAAAGATGGCTTGAGTCCAGGAGTCAAGACCAGCCTAGGCAACAGAGTGAGGCCCACATCTCTTAAAAAAATTAGCCAGGTGTGGTGTCACACACTTGTGGTCCCAGCTACTTGGGAGGCTGAGGTAGGTAGACTGCTTGAGCCCAGGAGGTTGAGGCTGTAGTGAGTTGTGATCGCACCACTGCACTCCAGCCTGAGCAACAGTAGGAGGTGTCTCAGTCTCAAAAAAATAAAAAAGAGAATAGAAATTTTTTAGTGTTTCAGAAAGCAGCCTGAAGCACAGAGCTGAAGCAGCTACCACCCGCCCCGGATTTGCCCTGCCCTGCCCTGACTAATTTGTACATTGGCTGCCACACTAGTTCAGTCAGAGCCTGTGCCCTTTATACACCAAGCCATTCTGAGTCCAATTCCTTAAGCAATGCAGAAGGATCTCTGCAATTGTCTATAGAGTCCCACATGTGGGCTTCCACCTCTGCATGGGGGTGACTGCTGTGAACCATACTCGGAAACTGTGAAGTCTCCCCCTGAAGTCTCCCCCTCTCCTCTGTGCTATGTGTTTGCTCCTTTAGCTTCTCAACAACTGCCAGGAGTCCCTGGGCCAGAATTCAAGTCTGATTCATCTTGGTGTGCTTGGAGCTTGGCATGGGGCCAGGCACAGAGAGGTGGCTCAATGTATAAGCCATCTAGCAGCAAGCAGCTGAAGAAGCCACCCTGTTCACCCTTTCCCACACCCTTCAAGTGTGAATTTCTCCCTTTTTTCCCAGCCAGCTTGCTCCTTCTTCCCTCTACCTCTGCCCTGAAATAGAAATGTCAGACATTTAAGGGCAAGTGAGTCCTTTATAAAGTCTGAGGGTGGCTTTTCCTTTAAAGATGTGTAGGAGATAATCAGCAAGATTGACAATATCACCATCCATCCTGCATAAGCAAGAGAAGTATTTCTTAAAGGGTAAACTCCAAGAAAAGGTGGTTTCTAGGAAAGCAGGTGTATGTGCAATCTTAACACAGGATACTTTGTATCAGGTATTGAAAAGGCCTTCTGATACATTGAAACCCCAGGCTAGGAAGTCAAGACAGAGAAAGTGGCCACGCCTGGCCACTGCTGGAAGAAAATACCAGAGGGCCACGTTCCCAGAGTCATGGCAGCCTTCACCCTACAATGGGAGATGCGCCACCAGGAGACACCCACCCTTTTGATCTCAACCTCAGCTTTACTGTACAGGCATTAGGCAGAGAAACCAACAAAGTGCGTCGCCCCTTGGTTGCCCTTTCTGCACTACCCCGGGTCCACACCCTGCCGCCCTAGCTAGCCCAAGGGTAGGGTTACACCACTTTCCTCTTCTTATTTTTAAAAGACGAGGTCGCTACAAATATCTCCCCAGCAAGAGCCCGATCCTGGCACAGGGTGACCAAAAACAAACAAACAAACAAAAAACCCCCTCATTTTTCTTCCTTGCAGCTGGCAAGTTTCCTCCCTCCCCGTCCTCTTTTCCCTAGGGGCCCCCTCAAGTCTTAGCCCTTGGCGCGGAAAAGGGGACCCCAGGTTACTGCGGCCTCGCCCTGCGAACAAGTTTCCACTGGCTTGGCCGCTTGCAGAATTGTCAGGGCAGGCGCTGAGCGTGGTCAGAGAGCATTTCTACATCCCGGAATCTTGCACCCTGAGGCTCCTCCGTGCTCGCCCCGGATCGGTGTCCCGGGTGGGGAGACGCCACTTACCCCACGACGGAAATCATCATGGCAGCCACCACCAGGTAGTTGGTCTGGTAATAGAGCAGGTTGCTCACCACGCGGTTGTTCCATTTGGAAATGTCCCTGAAGTCCGGCCGGGCAAAGCGATCGGAGCCCGGGAAGAAATCGTCCCAGGCGCGGAGTGGGGCGATATTAACGTCCATGTTCTTAGCTTTGCGTTCTTCGCCTCCTGAATCTGGCGGCGGCGGCGGCGGCAACCGATCAGCTGAGCTGAGTCACCGAGGTGACAGCCGCTTCGTCTAGATCGGCTTCGTGGTTGGTAGGCAGCGGAGCAAAGGACATTGGGAGCGGGCGGGCGTGTTTGCTCCTCTTTACTTCTAGATTGGCTGTGTAAGTGGTTAGGTACAGGAAAACAGGGACCTCGAGTCAGGACAAGAGACTGAGTGCAGAATAGAGATGAAATGACAAAGCAAACAGCAGAAATCCCCTTTCTGAAGCGAGGTGGCAATGTCTTCTTTGGTAGTCTGAACACCAGGGGCCTCCTTTGAAATACCTTTTTTAAAGGTTTAACTTAGAAGTGTATTTTCTGACTTAGAGAAAAATTTTGGCAGCTGTGCAGATGCCACTATAAGTCAAATGAAATGGAAGGCGACTACAGTGTTACTGGATAATGAGCTGCTTTTGAAAACTACCTCTTACTAACCTCTACACATCTGAATGCAATTCCCATGTTTTCTCTGTTTCACCATGAGTCACTATGTGTGAAATCAGATTGGCAAAACGGGAAAGAAGGTCATGTCGAACAGAAAGGCTGGTTTGTTTTTTTCACTTCTCTTCTTTGTTCTCCATCTCTATTCTCTTGAGGCTGAACTGTTGGACTGCTGTGCCATTCTGATAAAGTGATAAATTTGGCACGCTGCTCACTTTAGACAACTGGGCATGTTGCTTACATTTTAAAGCAAACAGTTGTCTCCAGTGAACTAGTTGTTCTGCATCTAGCGTTTTGTGAGCAGAAATATGCATTCCACTTCAAATGTTTTCTTAGTTTTATTGAAAAATTTGGTGACAACTTTCACTGAGGAACCACAGTATATTCATAGATAAGGTATCCCAGAACTAAGAACTGGCAAGGGATGTATTCATTGTAAATTATCTTCTAAGCTTTCAAAAGGTCATCGTTTTTCAGTTAATGAGCTGATTGTTACATTATATGAGAAAAAGTATTTTGTTTAATTGTATAATGTAATAGGTAGGATTCTAAGATGAAGACTTCTGAGATAACAGAGTCTGTAGGCCCATAGTGGTTTAGACAAACTGAATTCACTCTACTCAGATAATTAATTTTCAAAATCTTAGAAAGTAATGAAATATACTTATGCAAAGTCTAGAAAATAATTTAATCTTCCTTGTTGATTCAGAAGGCAGTTAAGGAGCTTACAGTGACTCTAAGAAATTACTACTACTACTGGTGTTTAGGAAAGTTTGGTGATTGCAAAGAATTAGTGCTGACTAAGATATATCTTATGTGCTGCCTTTTGAATAAAGTTTAAAATGTGAAAATATTACTGAATGCTCACGTTCTCTTGATTCTGGAAAAATGGGATGGTGTGAAGTCAGAGAAAGCAAAATTAGAGTCCCAGCTCCTTCCTCTCTGACAGGTGACTTTGGAGAAATTACCTGATCTCTCCTAGCATCAATTTCTTCATGTGTAAAGTGGGGATAATGGAACATCTGCCACAAAGGTGAGGATAAGTGAAGGAATGTATAGGAAGTGCTTAGTGTATGACAAATGTTCACAGTTATACGTTACTATTATTGTCATTAGTAATAGGCTAGCCCATGATTCATGTCTGCTATTAATAGTGCTTTAATCTGATTTGTTTTCTATAAGCATCTACTGACTTTTCTCTACCTTGCTCCAATTTTATTGTTGTGGTCATATCTGGGTAGATATAATAGGAGGAGAAAGATTGAGAATATTCAGTACAATGCCAACAGGTATTTCAAGTTCTTTTGAGGCTCTGGGACAACATGGTATTAAAAAAAATAAAAGAGGAGAAAGATGAAATCCTGCTCTGCCTTCAAAACTCCTGCAATCCAGTGGAAACACTAGTTAAATATGAGACAGTGAGATGAGGGCTAAATAGAGATGCACTGAGCCACAGTGCACAGTTACAGGAAGTCAGAGGGTGTGGAGGAATTTCCCAGGGCTTCAGAATGTCAAGAAGCAGCACTGTGGGCAAGCTGAGTAAATCATTTTGGTCAAAGTGTGGGGCCCCACACTGTTAGATTTATGAGTATTAGAAGCTGTGATCAAGAACTTTATCTTCTGGCCAGGCGCGGTGGGCTCACGCCTGTAATCCCAGCACTTTGGTAGGCTGAGGCGGGTGGATCATGAGGTCAAGAGATCAAGACCATCCTGGTCAACATGGTGAAACCCCGTCTCTACTAAAAATACAAAAAAAAAAAAAGTTAGCTGGGCATGGAGGCACGTGCCTGTAATTCCAGCTACTCAGGAAGCTGAGGCAGGAGAATTGCCTGAACCCAGGAGGCGGAGGTTGTGGTGAGCCGAGATCGCGCCATTGCACTCCAGCCTGGGTAACAAGAGTGAAACTCCATCTCAAAAAAAAAAAAAAGAACTTTATCCTCCAACTGCTCAGAACTACATGACCAAAAGCTGTCAAGAGTATATTAGTAACAATATGATTACGCCTTGATTACAGGCAATTGATACCCAAGAGTTATTTGTTTAAACCTTAAAAGGGGTTTAAAAAGAAAGAAATTCTAAAAAGACAGAGAAAGCTGTTTATAGCATGATTCCTTTCTCCCTCTCTCCCAAAATGTTATTTCTGTTTCTCTCTTTGGGAGATTTTTTTTTTCTAAATATTTTTACCTTTGTTAAAAAAAATTTTTTTTTTAAATGAACACATTATGAGTCATTTCTTTATTCCAGTAACTGTTTGAAATGCTGTAAGTAGCAACTCTTTGTTAGTGTTCATTCTGGGGAGAGAGACGTCAGATTCACTGCAGAGGTCTTCCTGGAGCTTTGACTTATTACTATTTTTAGAGACAGGGTCTTACTCTGTTGCCCAGGCTGGTCTTAAACTCCTGGGCTCAAGCAGACCTCCCACTTCAGCCTCCCAAGTAGCCAGGATAAAAGGCATGGGAATCCAAGCCCCACTTCATGGGGCTTTTATAATGGGACTGGTGTGTCTAGATAGGACAGAATATCTGTCTGTTTTAAACCTATAGCAGATAGTCTAATTGTTTATGATACGTTCCATTTGAAGTAAAATAAATCTGTTGGAGGTTTTGCTTGCATGTCTCTGTTGCTATCATTACTGGCAAGGGCAGATGGCTATTTCTGATCCGTCAATCAATCTGAGCCAGTGAGAGTGCCTGGTGGCATTAATCAAAATACCACCATAGTGAGTCAGGGTGTTCTTCTCAAAGCAAGCAGATACAGGGCCAGATGCCTTTGCAGACTTCTTCATAAGTTAGCTGTATTCTATCCCTAGGCCTAAGTTTCCTCCCCATGAAACAGGTGAGATTGGACTAGGTGGTCTCTAAGGTGCCTGT